CGCCACCCCCCCCCCCCCCCCCCCCGGCATCTGGGATGCACGCACGCACACACACATGCACACACACAGAGGCATCTGGCACACGCTTACACATGTGCGTCAAACCCCCACCCCCAGGCATCTGGGACATGTTCATGCACACACAAAACCCAGGTGTCTGGGTCACACGTGTGTACACACACACACACACACAAGGCATCTGGGACATGCTTATGCACACACAGAACCCAGGTGTTCGGGCCACACTCGCATGTGTGCATTCACACACACAACCCAGGTGACACACACGTGCACACAACCCAGGCATCTGGGACATGTTTGCACACATGTATGTGTGTATACACACACGTGCCCCCCAAGTGTCCATGACATGCATGTACACACAAGACAGGCATCTAGGACCTCCTCACAGATGCACACATGTGCGCACACATGCCACCCAGCTGTCCATGACACGTCTGCACACATGCATGCACAATGCAGGCATCTGGAACCTCTGTGCACACACATGTGCACAGAACCCAGGCATCTGGGACATGCTTACACACACATGCATGTGTGTGTACACACGCGCGCACACACACAGAACCCAGGTGTCCAGGACATGCACACACATGCAGAACCCAGGCCTCTGCATCATGCTCACACATGCACATAATTGCACATGCACTGCCCGCTACTCACCAAGGCGCTGGGTGCCGGCGGGTGGCTCCACCAGCACAGTCACGGCACGGCTCTGTGTTAGGCCCGACAGCCGCGCATGGCATCGGTAGGTACCAGCCTGGTCCTGCTGCAGCCCACGCAACCCCAGAGTCTGTGCCTGCAGTGTCCAGGCCTCGCCCTGCAATGGCCAACATCAATGGTACCCCGCAAAATCCCCTGTCTCTGCACCCCCCACCCGGCCCCGGGGCAGTCCATACGTCACGGGTCCAGTCAAACTTGGGGGGCCGCGAGGCCTCAGCAGCACACTCCAGCTCCAGGTCCTCGCCCTCAGTCACGGTCACGGTGTCACCCACAGTCCCACACCATGCGTCCGGCCACGTCACCCACACGTCCCGCAAGTCTGCAGGGAGGGCAAGGTCATACCACCCATTTTGGGGACCCTGGTAGCTGGGCACTGAAACCCAAAGGGAGTTTCGTGACAGGGATCAGGATTGGGACACCCAACCTCACTGGTGCCACGTACAGTCCACGTGCAGCAGGAAGGTGGCTTCTCCAGAGGCGTTGCTTGGGCCGGGCTCAGGGACGAAAGTGTCATTGAGAGGCATAGGGGTGCAACGGTAGGCGCCCTCGTGCCAGCGCTGGAGCCTGGCAATGTCCAGCAGGAGGCGCCCACCTGGGCGTGACACGGCCACAGCATAGAACCAGCAACGCAGCCTGGCCCCTGGGTCCAGCTGCACCCAGCTCTGCAGCCACTGCGGGGCACAAGGTGGGGGGAGGAGGGTGGTTAGCATAGCCCCCCCTAACTTCCCCCCACCATAACCCCCA